TTCTTAAACCTTTGCCTACATTATGCACCGAAATACACACTCTAGAAAACATCACCACAGGATGCAACAGATTCCTACCATGCACTTACCGTGACCGAGCCAATTACAGCAGTTCAATATATGAAAAGATTCGTCTTGGCGAGCTGAATCCAAATCTGTCTTCAAATTTGAAATCCATTGAGAACGAAGGGAGTTATGACGAAAAGACGCAAAGTCGGCGACATCGGCGACATCGGCGAATTCGGCGAATTCGCCGAAATTTTTCACATTCCAATGTCACAACTGTAAAGCACGTATAATGACTCTGATCAAGGAATGTCTTAACTGCAATATCTTCAAATGGTAAGGCACTTACTATTCACAGTTGAGGGGGTTGGCAATGGGCCAAAGGTTAGCACCTACGCTTGCCATCTGCTTCATGAGTAGAATAGAAAGACCGGTGCTCTTACGAAGTCACTTATGTACTGCCGTTACATCGACGATTATTGCATCATAACGTCAACAGTCCGAAATGGACGAGTGTTTCCGAATTTTGAATCAACAATCAGAGTACATAAGTTTTACCAGAGAAGCACCCCGAAACGGTTGGCTCCCCTACCTGAACACCCAGCTAATGCTAAATAACGGTACGATACGAGTGAAGTGGTATCGCAAAGAGAGCTCGAAGAACATCATTTTACACGCGAAATCGGCCCATCCGGTCGCCGTCAAGCGAGCAGTATTGCAGAACATGTATAAAACGGCAATCGAAGTCTGCAATGGGGAGAGTGAACGGCAGGAGTCCCTCGAGCTGGCAAATGAGATAGCAGCCTCCAATGGCTACTTCTCATCAAAACCCAAACATTCTAGAACGTTTACAGCAAATGCTGAAAATCGCCAAACTAGTGCCAGGATTCCATTATGCTTACCATTCATTTCCGATAGAGTAAAGCACGCGTTTCAAACGTGTATAGTACAAGCCCAGTTGGAGCAAGATGTTCTTCTCGTAAATATCCCTCGAAGCAACATTAAGCGACAACTAGTGCGTAATCGTTTATACGATACAGCTTGTATTACGAAGGATTGCGTCATTTGCCCTAACGGAAAAATGGGAGACTGTGCTAAGTTTGGCATTGTCTACGAGATTGAATGTCTGGCATGCCACGCTACCTACATAGGGGAAACTGGTCGGCAACTCAGCGTGCGTGTTAATGAACACTTGGCGAGTAAGAGGCGGGAAAGCATGGCCAGTCCGCTAGGGAAACACAGGAAAGTAGACCATTACGGCAACGACTTCGATATCAGGTGCATCATCCTAGGTCATGAGTCAAAAATTGCTGCTCGCAAAGCGCTTGAAGCGGCATACATTCTCTCGCGCGAACCGAAACTAAACGGGAAGAATGAACAGCTCTCCATCACAAGTGATTTGATGCCATTTCTGTCATACTGTCACTTATAGATATCATCTCCACTACTACTTAAGCTGTCCATATCGGTCAGCTATAGTCTTTTACCACCAGTGGAGCTTAAACGTCGTCGTTGCGCTGTCGGTGGAGATCTTGGTATGCTACTTGTCGTGTAATGTCTCCGCTTGTTTGCTCCTAGGACATCGAACTAGGCTTGTCAAGAGGAGAGATTTGATCATATAGGGCAAAAAAACTAGTGTGAGACTTTCTTTCAGGTTTCTGAGGAAGGCATTATTGCCGAAACGTTAGACCTAATAAATATCTTAACAAACCTGCGTGGCTCACAAGAAAATTCATGAAAGGAAATATTTCTGTGAACTCCGGGGAAATGGAAATAGTTCAGAAAAACCCCTCAAATTTTAAGTGAGAGATGTATGCATTCTTCAGTCATTTTTCTCTGCCCAAATGAGAAGCTTTTTTCACTTCTTTGTCTGAGAAAAGTTTTGCACGCAATTTGGGAGATAATGGAGGGCAAACGGGAAAACCCGGGCTTCCTTCCCTGCTGCGCAAATACTCAAAAATAAAAATTTGTGCGACCAAGCTTTGGCTTGTTTGTGCAAGTCGTACAAGTTTTTGAGAAATTTCGTGAGATCCACGTATAAAAGGGCGAAACTGCTTTCTCGATTACTTTCCTCATACCGTAGACCCTCTAATAGAGGTGCGATAGGTGGAGCCGGGCCCCCCAAAAGTGAAGGTGGTTCCAGCTACCACTGGCCGGCCAAAAGTGAAGGTGGTAGTGCCGGACACTCACCTCCCAAAAACGTCGACCGGGGGGGGGGGGGGAGGGAGAAGGGGGGATAATTGGATAATTGAAGAACTCTGACCCAACGGTCTCCTTGAGGGCCAACAAGTATGACCTAACGGCCCTCTTTAGGGCCACAAATACGATGAGTATAGCGGCATAAAAATAAAATAAAAAGAAATAAATATGTTATTCAAATGGTCTATTTGTAAGTAAATCCCAGTTAGACTTTACATATTTCATTAAGTAGATTTTGTTATAACGTACTGCGAATAAAGTAGGTCGATCCAGGCAGTAACCACCGAGAACCAGAATTTCAAATGATAAAATAGCAAAACATCATGCGAAATTTCCACTGTCATATATCTGGTAGTTAAAGATGTCAGCAATTGTGACTTCATAGGTTTTAAAGACCAAGTGTTGTTCTACCAGATAGTGAAAGAATCGAGTCGATTTGAGCAGTGGCCGCCGAGAACGAGAATTTTGAAAAATTAAGCGATTTTAGGTTGCTTAGTGATAGCTGACGTTTAAACTCCTACAAATGTGGAATGTGAAGGTTTGCAATGTTGCGACTTCATAGGTTTTGTAGAGCAGGAATTTTTCTACAAAGTATATCTTAGCCGTACCGATCCATTGAGATACCGCCGAGATCCAGGGTCTTGAAAAAACAGGTAAAAATCCGCTTTTTGAACTTCAACAGCTCATAACTTCTTCAGAATTGCACGAATCATGTTGCTTCTTCATAGGTTAGATTCTTCTCATCAAGAGCTTTCAGATGGTATAGAATATGTGGGGGGTTCAAAGATTTTTGCGGCTCTAACCCAGAGTGGAGAGTTTTCACCCCAAAGTCTCCACCTCGCCCATGTTAATGTATTGGCCGGAGACCGCCAGTGGAGACTTTGGGGTGAAAAGTCTCCACCCCCGGGCATATGCCGTGAAAGACTCTAACCCGGGGTGGAGTACTCCTCTTCACTAAATCTCCACCCCTCCCATCAATGTATTGGCGGGAGGCCGCCAGTGGAGAATTAGTGAAGAGAGATACTCCACCCCCGGGCATATGCCGTGGGAGGCGTGAATCCTCCAAATATTACGTATCATCTGAAAGCTCTTGATGAGAGGAATCTAATCTATGAAGTCCCAACATGATTCGTGCATTTCTGAAGAAGTTATGAGCTGTTGAAGTTCAAAAAGCGGATTTTTACCTGCTTTTTCAAGACCCTGGATCTCGGCGGTATCTCAATGGATCGGTACGGCTAAGATATACTCCGATAGAGAAATTCTTGCTCTACAAAACCTTTGAAGTCGCAACATTGCAAACCTTCACATTCCAGATTTGTAGGAGTTTAAACGTCAGCTGTCACTAAGCAACCTAAAATCGCTTAATTTTTCAAAATTCTCGTTCTCGGCGGCCACTGCTCAAATCGACTCGATTCTTTCACTATCTGGTAGAACAACACTTGGTCTTCAAAACCTATGAAGTCTCAATTGCTGACATCTTTAACTACCAGATATATGACAGTGGAAATTTCGCATGATTTTTTGCTATTTTATCATTTGAAATTCTGGTTCTCGGCTGCCTACTGCCTAGATCGACCTACTACATAGATATATGCTCTCAATACTTTCTTTTACTTATTTTCCTTCTTTTAAGCTTCAGCAAAAAATTTTTTTCAAACCCAAAAGTGAAGGTGGTCACCCGGTATCAGCTCAAAAGTGAAGGTAGGCGGAGACTCGGCTCCAACTATCGCACCTCTGCCCTCTATTTGAATTTCGATTGTGTGTTTATGTTTCTATCAGATCATATCCCCTCTCAAGTCAAGCTTCCTTCCATCTCTCTATATTCTGACAATGAGTTTTCAAAGGTGGTCTTCAGATGACACCAGTGGCGGCCTTAGGATTTCCCGCCCCCGAAAACTTTTTTACAAGAATAATTTGAATTTAAAAAATCTTGAAATTGTTTTAATTATTCATAAGAATAGACAAGTCACTTGCACCTTTTTATAACCCATATGAGTAAATTTGAAAAGTTTCACCCACTCTCGAGGGTTCCTCCCCCCCCCGCTCCCCCTCGGTCCGCCAGTGGGTGATACGTATTGTAAAGTTGCTTTTAGTCAGTCCATTACCATGCTCACTCAACAGACAACGCATCCTTCATTTTTTTTTGAAACCAAAATTATTCTTTCTCTCATTTCCAATATTGTCACAAATTGCAAAATGTATACCTGCAACTTTCGTTAAATTATGTCAGCTCTTTTTCTAAAGACGTCTGAAGTATTTTGGGTAGTAGGTCTTTGACACATTTATTTTACTAAATTTCATAGAATTTTGAACTAGCAAAATTGCAGTCACCTAGGGCGGCTGCTGCCATACTTTTCTCGAAGTTCCGAATTACAAAACTTGTAAAAAAATTCTAACACAAAAAATCTGGAATGGCTTGACAAATGCGAATTCCCTCAATTCAAATAAAAGCTTCTCCTTTTCTGCAACCCCAAGAAAACTACTCAAAACCGTCAACGCCACAAATCTTTTATTAGTTCCCTATTTGTTTAAAAAGCAACATTTGGTGCATGTGACATCCGTAAATAAAACTTTTTCATCTTGCATGTTTCTTTGTCCGCTATTAATCAGATGGCAATTTTGATTGTGTCATATCTGGTTTGGAGAAGACATACCATTTGATTTATGGGCCAACTCATCATCGAGAATTGATTTTGTCCGACAGCAACTATTTATATCCACCCATTTTCCTCAATGTATTCAATTTCAAGTCTATAAATTCGTACTGGCACTAAAGCTGATTGAACACCTCCAGAATGACCCAAACTATTGTGAGCCTTACTAAAGCTTGTTTTTTATGCATGCTGTGGCAGCCACCATTTCCAGAATTGTTCCGAAATGTCCATTGCTATCGCACAAGTTGGCACCGTAATTTATGACACTCCAGCGACTTTGGACAAATTGGAACGGATTACTAACGAAGCCGCTAACAAAGGTGCCAAGCTGATTGTGTTCCGAGGTATTGATCTATATTGATTGATACAGTCTTACTTGTTCTCACTGGTGTAGGCTGGTTGTTTTCAGAGGCTTTCATTGGTGGCTACCCAAAAGGCCTGGACTTTGGCATTGTCTTGGCAACACGATCACAGAGGGTCGCGATGAGTTTGCAAAGTAAGTTAGAGCTATTAGATTGCCCATAAGCCTTTTCATATCGGCGAAAATGAGCTGACCTCAATTTTTTAAATTAGGTTGAACAACTATTCAATAAAATGACGAATAATCGTAAGAGGTTTGATAGACGTGGAGTTTGAAGCCGAAATTCAAAAATTTCTAAATGTCAGAAAAATCCAATCTCAGCCCACAAAAATTTTAGGGAACGTTAACTTGCTCAATATAATCTCCGCATAAAACATTTATATTTACATTTACTGAATTTTTCCGTGACAAATATACTCCAAAATTACGAAAATCCCAGAAAATGTCGCTTTTCAAAGTTTTTAATGCTGTATAGCTCCTCTCTCGAAAAGTAAAGGGTACCCATAAAGGTTCGCACCATAGATCTGTCCATGTAGGACAGCCCAGCATAGCTTTCACGAAAAAATGCAAATTTTTATTTTCTTGATTTCTAACTAAGCAAAAAATACAGCAGTTGTATGTATGAATGTCTGATGTGGAAATTGCATGCTAGAACAATTTGGAAGTTGTTCGATTTTGGACGGAGATATGATTTTTTTTTTGAATTTGAGTATTTGGACCTTCTTAAATTTCGGATTTGAACTGTGGAGACTTGGTGTAAATTTTTGCATGTCATTTTGTAGAGATTGCTGCTCTATCCCAAATGCCCTGAAAATTTTACGAAGAGATGGCTTATGGCAGCAAAGAATCAAATATGAAAAGATTTATGAGACAACCTACTATTTGCCCTCTAGGTTGGTAAAAAACGGTCTTCTAGGTACTCTAATTCAGCGATTGAAGAAAATGGTCCGGAATTTAGACGCATAGCGGAACTTGCTAGTACTCTGGGCATCAATATTGTGACTGGCGTTGTCGAAAAACAAGGAGGCACATTGTATTGTTCGGTTGGTTAGACTGTTCCATGTGATTTATAATATAAACTTCATAAATTGATTGCTGCTTTTTGGAAATTGAAAGATTACGCGTCAATTCAGAGAACACAACACGAGCTTTTTTTTGAGATATCGAATGGGCTTGATGAAAATATCCTTTTTCCAAATTTTTGTTTTTTCATTTTTGCCTGAATGACCAGCGCGGTGGGGGGGGGGTTTACCTAACTTGGGTCACACTGTTCTGCAAAGTTGCCTATCATCATCCATTCTTTGACTAGGAGACGCGAGCACGCTCTGCGTACATTTCATTAAAGGCAGCGTACACCCAAAATCTAAGTTACCGAATTTCCTAGATTTTTGTATACCGTGTCCCCCACAATGGTCGGTCGCCTCATCGTGGCGTGGGAGTGACACTGGGTGTCGAACTGCGATGCACAGCCGAGTGTATACTCTGGTAGGGCCTCCCAAGCTGTGAAAGAGTTCGACGTTTCCGGTTTCGGCCGGATGCCTAGCTAAGAACTGGCCACGCCAGATCCTCCGCCGTCTGGCTTCTTCTGGTCGCTAGGCGGTCACTCCCCGCTTCAAGCCCGGGGTCAGCGATCGCCCCGTGGAAATCAAGAGTAGGCCTAGTAAGCCACCTCTTGTAGGGGAACAAATTTTATTACTCAGACAGCAAGAAAATTTAGAAAAAACCCTGTACATCGGATCCCGCCTACGGCGCCAGGTGGTAGCAAGATTGATGTCAGGGTACTCAGGGCGCCTTACGGATTGGACAAAAACGACACGTCTGCCCGGACGACACGCCATGGAGACTGCCTCATGCTCTGCACCTACAAAGCCAAGACAGTTTCCACAAACGCCGACCTCCACGGTCTTCTCGACGCTGCAGAGCACATCAACTACCACATCATCGCTCTGCAGGAAACGAAGTCCAGGAAGAAAGACGTGCGACAGATGAGTGATGGGGCCCTCATCACTCGTGGTGAAAAGGTTCCATCACGAAACGTGGGAGGCGTCGGCTTTGTCGTTCACCCATCTATCGTCCATCTTGTCGATTCGCACGAGATCCTATCACCTCGACTAGGCATACTACGACTACGACCTCCACATCAGAAGACCATCAGCATCATCAACTGCTATTCTCCAACATCAGCAGCTGACGAATCAGAACTAGATGCTTTCTACGAAGATATGGAGGAGGTCGTCCGCAACGAGAAGTCCTTTTATAAGTTTGTTGTGGGCGACTTCAACGCGAAAATCGGGATGCCACTGGAAAAGGAATATAGGATCGGAAAGTTTGGATATGGGCTCCGGAACGAAAACGGCAACCGTCTTGTTGGGCTTCTCTCCGCCGCACGACTTTTCCATGGAAATTCCATCTTTATGAAGAAATAACATCGCCGGTGGACATGGGAATCGCCCAAGGGAACGACCCACGCGGAGATCGACCACATTCTCACCAACCGAAGGTGGAGCTTGCTCGATATCTCAGTAGTTCCATCCTTCTGCAGTGGCTCCGATCACCGCCTCCTTCGAGCGAAGGTTCGATTCAGTCGAAGGCTGGAAAAGAAGGTCTGCCACAGTGCCGCAAGAAGGAAGAGTGTCGTTTATGACGGTAACAGGCTGGAGGAGCTCATATCAAGTTGTGACTGGCCCAACGAGGAGGACCCAACGTACGACTACGACCGGCTTCTGAAAGGATTACGAGCCTGCGGAGAGTGCGCCTCAGTTACTTCCGAGAAGAATGTTGAACGCATTTCAACCACCAAGGAAATGCTTGAAAGAAGAAGATTTCTGAGGCAGGATCCGAATGCAACCCATCTCGAGCGACTGATAGCCAACGCCAGTTGCAGAACAGCTTTGCAGGAGGATCTCAGGAAATACAGGCAAGCCAAGATACTGGAAGCAGCCGAAGGAAGACGAAGTCTCAAGAAGTGCCGAAGGGACCTCTGTGAATATCGCGTACCGCTGGCAGCACTATTGAACGAAGACGGGACTCCGACTTCTTCCCGATACAAGATGGAATCTATCGCGAAGAACTTCCATACCAACCTCTTCCGCTCATCAACACCCGTGCCGATGCCCGTTGTTCCCACTGGAAAAGTACCACCACGAATTCTACCTGCTGAAGTGCGCACAGCGATTCAGACCATGAAGACGTCCACGGCTCCAGGACCAGACCATCTTTCCGTCGAATTTCTGCGAGCTGGAGGACAACGTCTACACGAGATCCTCGCGTCGCACCTAACAACTTACCTTCATAAGGAAAGGATTCCCGACCAGTGGAGAACATCAAGAACCGTCCTTCTTTTCAAGAAGGGTGAACAGGAAGATCTTCGGAACTACCGTCCAATATGCCTGCTGAGTGTGCTGTACAAGCTTTTTACGAAGATTATCCTCGCTCGCATATCTAGGACACTGGATGAAGCCCAACCCCAAGAACAAGCTGGATTTCGCAAAGGATTCAGCTGCATGGACCACATCCAGACGGTTTCGAGGGTCATAGAAGTCTGCCGGGAATACCGACTGCCTCTCGTCTTAACCTTTGTCGACTACGAGAAAGCCTTTGACAGCGTCGAAACCAACGCCATCCTGTCTGCGCTAGTCGATCAAGGAGTGGACCCAGCTTACGTGAGGACGTTAGCCGACTGTTACAAGGACTGTACAACGACGATGCAGCTATTCCATCGCCCCCTGACCATCCCAATTGGGAAGGGGGTTCGACAAGGCGACACAATTTCGCCGAAGCTGTTCACCGCGGCCTTGCAGTGGGTGATGAAGTCACTGGACTGGGACGAGAGAGGCATACGAGTTGATGGGAGATTCCTGTCGAACCTTCGTTTTGCGGACGACATCGTTCTCTTTTCGAGCAGTGTCACTGAAGCAGAGACGATGCTGAAGGAACTGAACGAAGTAGGGAAGAAGATCGGATTGCGAATCAATCGGAAGAAGACTCAGTTCATGAAGAACGCCCTTTGCGAAGATGCAGAAATGGAATTGAAAGGCACCCCTATCACGGAGACGTCTTCTTACGTGTATCTCGGACGTTCGATGAACATGGAGAACGACTTGAGGGAAGAACTTAACAGGAGAAGAAGAGCAGCCTGGGCCGCCTTCGGGCTTCTGAAGGAAGCCACCGACCAACTGAGGACCCGGAGCTTCGTGCCCACCTGTTCGACTCAACCGTTCGCCTGGCGCTCTGTTACGCAGCTGAGACTTGGGCTGACACCGTCGCCACTTCGAAAGCTTTAAGGACCACCCACAGAGCGCTAGAGCGTAGTCTTCTGAAGATGACCCAGCACAAACAACATCTCGTCGGACTTCGCAGTACGGATATGAGGAGAATGTCCCGTCTTCGTGACCCAGCGGATTACGTTGCGAAAGCGAAGCATCGATGGGCCGGTCACATCATGAGAAGAACAGACGACAGATGGACATTAAGAACATTGGAGTGGATTCCTCGCGAAGCAAAACGTCCCCGAGGAAGACCACCAACGAGATGGGCAGACGTGTTCGTGGAACGGATGGACCAGCTGAGAAATCAGCTGGATACGATTTTTGCACCTGGAACTCGTGGACGCAGCCACCGACGTCAGCCAAGAAGATCGTGGATATCAGAAGCAAGGGACAGGGAGAAATGGAAACTTCTGAGCTGGGGCCCGCACGTCACGTGAAGCCGGGCCAAATAAGTATCTAAGTATCTAAGTAAGTTGTATACCGTGTATATACTGGGCCCAGAAGAAGACCAATTGCGTTGGTCCGGTCTCCCAATGTTGTTTCTGAGCGGAGAAAACCCCCCTCAATTTTTTTTCACTCCGCCCCCTTTTCTTTCACTCCGCCTCCTCCGGGCGAATCCACGGCAGCGTAAGCTTCAGTTGCCGTTGCAGTTGCTGTTGCAATGCTGTTGCATCTGCAATTGCAGTTGCAACAGTGCAGTTGCTCTTTGCGGTGCGTCTCTTTCGGGCGACGAACCACGACAGCATATGCAGCAGTTGCAGTTGCAACTGCAGGCTGCCATGCTGTTGGCAGCTGCTGGCATGCCGACGGGGACGAGCAGTTCGAAACTCGTCCGCCCCTGAAAAGAGGGTCCCCGGAAATCGGGTTTTTTGGGAATTTTGGAGGATTTCAATGACATAACTGTAATCAGCGGCACGCAAAGGCCCCAGAATGACTAAAACATCGAAGCTAAAATTTTGGGTGTACGCTGCCTTTAACAAGTTTCATGAATGAGTTTTAGCGCGTTTTGGTTGATTTACTATTGGACGTAGAAGAACATGTTTGAGCTCGTCAAACCATGCTGGCTTGAACACGTTCTTTCACGAATTCCTGATAGTAATTGACCAAACGCGTTAGAACTCATTCTCAGACATTCGCAGTTAAGTCCCGCCGGAGATCCGCCCACAAAATGAGATTTCGCGAGAAAACCGGGAGTCTTGCGCGACTCCCGGTTTTGTCCCGACTTTCGGGACAATCCCGACAGTTAAGAAGTGGCGGGAGATTACCGGGAGTCGCGATCATCGATTGTGACGCTATTGCGCGTCAGTATCGATTCATTCCTATTTCCACACAGGCTGTTTGTTTTGTTTTCGTTGGTTTTCGTTTGGTTTTCGTTTTGTTTTTGTACGGCCGGTGAGTCAGCTGTGTGTGCGGTGAGTGTACTGTGATTGATTGCTGCCACGCGGGACTTACGCACAGCGAGTGCACCTCAAACTTGGGTAATTAAACTTTTATTACTAAAGCAACTAATCACTACAATGCGACTACGATAACAACAGACAACCAATACAATATGCATATATGTCAAAAGGATGTGCTGTGAGTTGCTGTGAGGGTCCTGTGCGGGGGGCTGTGACTGTGCTGTGAGGGTCCTGTGAGGGGGTGTTGACAGATATGCTAAAAATAGATGAATCATCGAAAATACTAAATAACTGTAAGAAGAAAGCAAAGAAATAACATGGTACAACGCGACTAACCACTACTTATATATACTTGTGAACATAAACAAACTAAGAACAAGCATG